CCAAATTGATACTCACAGATAAACGATGTTCTCACCAAATTGATACCCACAGATAAAGTTGTTCTTACCAAATTGATACTCACAGATAAAAGATATTCTCACCAAATTGATACTCACACATAAAGGATGTTCTCACCAAATTGATACTCACAGATAAAAGATATTCTCACCCAATTGATACTCACAGATAAAAGATGTTCTCACCAAATTGATACTCACACATAAAGGATGTTCTCACCAAATTGATACTCACAGATAAACGATGTTCTCACCAAAATGATACCAACAGATAAAGTTGTTCTTACCAAATTGATACTCACAGATAAAAGATATTCTCACCAAATTGATACCAACAGATAAAAGTTGTTCTAACCAAATTGATACTCACAGATAAAGGATGTTCTCACCAAATTGATACCAACAGATAAAGGATGTTCTCACCAAATTGATACTCACAGATAAAGGATGTTCTCACCAAATTGATACAGATAAACGATGTTCTCACCAAATTGATACTCACAGATAAAGAATGTTCTCACCAAATTGATACCCACAGATAAAAGATAATCTTACCAAATTGATACTCACACATAAAGAATGTTCTCACCAAATTGATACTCACAGATAAAGGATGTTCTCACCAAATTGATACCCACAGATAAAAAATGTTCTCACCAAATTGATAGCTACAGATAAAAGATGTTCTTACCAAATTGATACTCACACATAAAGAATGTTCTCACCAAATTGATACTCACAGATAAAGGATGTTCTCACCAAATTGATACCCACAGATAAAAAATGTTCTCACCAAATTGATACCCACAGATAAGAAATGTTCTCACCAAATTGATAGCTACAGATAAAAGATATTCTCACCAAATTGATACTCACACATAAAGAATGTTCTCACCAAATTGATACCCACAGATAAAAAATGTTCTCACCAAATTGATAGCTACAGATAAAAGATGTTCTCACCAAATTGATACTCACACATAAAGAATGTTCTCACCAAGTTGATACTCACAGATAAAAGATAATCTCACAAAATTGATACCCACAGATAAAAGATGTTCTCACCAAATTGATAGCTACAGATAAAAGATGTTCTCACCAAATTGATACTCACACATAAAGAATGTTCTCACCAAATTGATACTCACAGATAAAAGATAATCTCACAAAATTGATACCCACAGATAAAGGATGTTCTCACCAAATTGATACTCACAGATAAAGGATGTTCTCACCAAATTGATACCCACAGATAAAAGATGTTCTCACCAAATTGATACCCACAGATAAAGGATGTTCTCACCAAATTGATACAGATAAAGGATGTTCTCACCAAATTGATACCCACAGATAAAGGATGTTCCCATCAAATTGATACTCACAGATAAAGGATGTTCTCACCAAATTGATACTCACAGATAAAAGATGTTCTCACCAAATTGATACTCAAAGATAAAAGTTGTTCTCACCAAATTGATACAGATAAAAGATATTCTCACCAAATTGATACCCACAGATAAAAGATGTTCTCACCAAATTGATACCCACAGATAAAAATGTTTTCTCACCGAAATGTAACTCACACATAAAATGTATTCTAACAAAAATTGTTTTCACACGTTTCATGTATTCTTACCAAAATGCAGCCCACACATAAACGGTAAACTCACAACTCCGGAGAGGACGGACGAATCAGGCGTATGACGCATTTAAATTCTGTAGATGAATGTCCTGTACAATGTACTGATAAAATTGTATTGCACGGTGCTGTTTACTTGTCTTTTGCACATTTTCGCATACACTATCCTCCCACGTAAATCACATCCACACATAGGAAGTACATATACATAAAATGTCTTAAATTTCTTAATAACATCTATCACAAAAAAAAAACAAGCGACACGGCTTCGAAGAGGCACATTACCATTTACTGATCTATAAGTAGCAAGAAGACATGAAACATTTATCAGAAACATTGTGTTTGAGTTTATAACGATAACGGACGATATTTCATTTAATACTCTAAATATTAACTGCTATGATTCTCGTATTCATTGAATACTCTCCATTCTATTGTTTTCAATCCTTGTTACTAATAATACCCATGTGACACATACTTTCTAAATGACTACAGTGAGGGTTTATCAAACCAGTCGATTTCAGTCGTTATGCAAGAATGACATATACATGTTGTGTAATTTGGAAGATAAAATGATCGCCAGCACGTTACACGACTGCTGAACACTGAGTTTACCCTAGACTGACTAGTATATAGCCATTTTTGCTACAGGCTGTCATTATCCGTGTGGTAATGGGTTAACTAGACATTGTATACCGCCATCAATCTACTACAATTATCAAATCTTCTACCAAAATCTTGGAAGCGTTTTACGCCATTTCTCAGCGTCAATAACCTTCTAAAACATGTATGTTAAAGATTTCACCTAAAAAAAGCTGAACATTGAGATCTTAACCCGATATGGATTATTGATCTGTACATCGAAATGATCTAGATTGCACTTAGAATCAAATTATCCTACTTTGTTTTTGTTTTGCCTCGTCTTTTTCACACCTAATTTTGTAATGTGATATCAATAGTCTCTCCTCACAGCGCTCCGTATAGATTGCAAGATAATTCATGGCCAATATTCACCCCAAGGGAACATTCTACAAGAAGAATTCATATTCCCGTGTTGGGATGAGCGGGCGAACATTCACCCCTAGGGGATATTTCATGTGAAAGTTATATGTTCCCTTATCATATGGAGAAGACAAGCATTCACTCCTGAAATATTCTATCACCCGTAGCACTATGAGGGGGCGAACATTCACTCCTCTGGAACATTCTATCACCCATGTCACAGTGGGGAGAAGAACATTCACCACTCTGGAACATTCTATCACCCATGTCACAATGGGGAGAAGAACATTCACCACTCTGGAACATTCTATCACCCATGTCACAATGGAGTGATGGACATTCACCACTCTGGAACATTCTATCACCCATGTCACAATGGAGTGACGGACATTCACCACTCTGGAACATTCTCTACAATCACCACCACTCTGGAACATTCTATCACCCATGTCACAATGGGGTTACGGACATTCACCACTCTGGAACATTCTATCACCCATGTCACAACGGGGAGAAGAACATTCACCACTCTGGAACATTCTATCACTCATATCACCCCTTGGGAACATAGATAGGGCATAGTATTTGAGGACGACTGTGGCATCAGAAATTATCTAAAACGAACAGCTTTCACAGTAAATAAATATAATATGCTGTGAGAATGTAAACGCTATGGAGTTTTTACGAGTAAAATATATCTTATCGATATGTTTCGGTTGAATGAATATGAAAACTGGTCAAACGAAATGCCATCTTGAACAGAACAAAAACTACTAAGATTCGCCTTCCAACCACTAACTCGCTGTGAAGCTATTATTAACTGGTGCTGTTGTGGAACTCATAGGGTCAGTAGGTCTACAGTAATACATCCGCATGTTTACAACACAAATTTGTATGTTTGTAGCATGTGTGTGTGGGTGGGGGGGTTATATCTTCACAGGGATACGAGTACGATAGCAACAGGAAAAAACATCAAACTGTACTTATAACGTCAGCCTTTTACATAATCTGAAAACGAATATATTCCTAATTATCTGCCACACAGCTGGGTCAGGTAAGTTCCTAACTCACAGTACGCAAATCTAATTAGAAAAGTGAGAGCACGTGTTTGTACTGATTATATAAGGTTAAAATGCTCATATACTTATGTCAGATTCCGTTGAATGCTTAAGTGACGTTCTATATATTCTACAGAGTCGGGACGCAGCAGGTATCTGGCAGGCTGGTCGACGACAGCGTCTCGGGTCTCAATTATAGGGGGGAATTCCGCAATGTCAGTTTAAATGTCGACAAATACACATATTTATGTATAGGTAAGTAAACCACTGTAGGGTAATGTGGAAACACACTTGAGAACAAAAGAAGCTAAGCTACACACAATCATTTGATATGTTGATATGAGAGGTAACGAGAACAACATCCGACGAGTACTTGAAGTTAGAGAATAAGTCACGTAATTATGATGTACAGAACTCGCCAATTTTTACCAAGAGTCTTTTCACATCTTAGGTCTTTTATATTAAGTACAGTTTACTGCAAAAAAAAAGTTTTTTTCTAAAAATCAGAACGGAGGAACGCTTCCCTTAAATAAAAACGCATCACTACAGAAGTATGTAACTCTACAAATACACGCACAGACACCTTCCTTTTAAAATACCAGCAATTAATGATGAAAGCTCGTCACCTGATAATCCACATCAAAAGGTTAATGCCCGGACGGTGGAACGGACGTCTTGGCTTTGAATTACAACCCGTTAACAACTGGTCGATTTCTATCTGAAATAATTTAGTTTAATCTTTGGTTATTTTTCCCCAATTACGGAACAAATTGTCAACTTTTTTATCAGCCAGGACTGAAACGGGAGTACCCGAGGGAAACCTATTCATATAAATATAAACCTTTCCAGGTCCGATCAGGAATTCAATCCTGAATTGCCTAGGTGAAAACGATTATTTTACCACTGCGCCATCAAACAATATGCATCGGCAAATATTTAGTATATTAAGCAGATGCATCAAATGATCTTTGATAACATGAAACCTGAAAGTTTATTTATCTAAAAATAAATTTGTCCAACTTATATTACTCTTGTTGGCCCGGATGGAAGCGCTCGAGGGTTTATACTGTTGGAGGAAATCTGAGTACTCGAGGAAAACCCACGTGGTCGGGCATGTACCCTCATACCTTTTCACGTGTGTTCCGGGAATCGAACCCCAGACACCTTTGTGAAACACAAATGTGTTTCGACTGCGCCATCCGACCATCCTGACTTTTGAGATATTACAAATGACTTTTAAACGTCAAAAACAAAGCGAAATTTGTTTAAAATGGAGCACTTACCTTGCATGAAAGTATTAAACTTGCAGAAGAAAGCACCTAGTACCCAGTCTGTAGTGAGATCCTCTACTAAAGCCACCCACGTGCAGGAAACAGTCACCATTAGGTCCGCTACAGCTAGATTTACGATATAGTAGTTGGTTGCCGTATGCATTTGTCTGTTTCTAAATACGATCACAATAATTAATATGTTTCCAATTAACGAAATCACAATTATACACAAAACAAAAATGCTTTTCACAATAATCTCCCATAATGGAATATGTTTCACAGAATACAGATCATAATAAGACATATTTCCGATTTTATCAAAGAAATCCTCATAAAAATATGTTTCCGTCATGTTTGCCATGTTGGGATATGTTGAGTTGATCGTCATCGGTACAAGCTGGTACGATATTGCTCGAAAGTAGCTATTATTTACATACAGTTTTTACTCTCAAACGCATATGAAATCTGAACATTTAAAAAATGATAATAAAATCAGATTTTGTCTCGAGTGTGAAGCCGACGACATATATATGAACCCTAACATAAAAGCACGTGTCTGTGTTGGCACGCGAGAGGCGCGCGCTCTCCTTGCTGGGAGTCACTGCAGCAGTCTATATGAGAAGTCGAGATCTGTCAGTATACAGGTAGAAGCAGAGTAGTGAGGCGGATTACTCTACTTAATGTCGTTCTGGAGAGGAAACACCTTTCATCTGTCTAATGTCCAGCGTCTCTTCGAACAACCGATTAACTATATACATATCTTATAGAAAGGTCCTGGTCAGATTCCGTCCTAATCAATAGGCCGTGTATTGAAGACATGCTTCAAGCTGTGCTGTGGAAGTGGCGATGGCTCTGCCTCATAGCTTACACTTTGTTGATGCACAACAGTTGGTCAAACTAGTCTTTCATCCTTTCAGTTTGAATATCGTTTGATCTATACTGATAAAAAGTAAAATAATACCCCGTTCTCAAACACATGTTCTTTTGTTATTATATAAAAGATGAAACAGAGCACTTTCACATCGTTTGGTATAGTTTATCTTTGTTGTGTCAAATTTGCCAGTAGAGAGGCAGAAAATGTCAGTTTTAAAACAATACAAGACAGAATGGTGTACTTCGCTCAAAATTGCACTCTACAGCGATAGATACATTGGATAACAACACATTTTTAAGGTAATCCTGATCTTACAAACATATGGCAACATTATACTTGGTTTTTAATAAACAGAAACAAAAAGTTTAAACCAATGTACGATCTGTATCATCGGGATTTCTGCTCGTTGTTTTTCTCTCTTCCTCTGTCTTCTTTCTCTTGTTTCTTCCGTCTGTTTCTTTTCGTCAATTATACAAGTATATCTATAGTTATGTCGTTACATTCGAATCACTCAATGAAATTTGCTATCATAACAGATCCGGTGTGTGCGAAGGTGTTAGAGAATACTGTTGTCTTCACATTTGCATTACTTCGTGAGGAAACTGACCTATCTCTAAAGCATCCTTCCCAGATTGAGAGAATTAACCTACTCACCATTTTGTCGAACCACTACTTTAAAAGTAAATCAGCGCTGTAGCTTCGCCATGTGGTTCAATAACAAAACGGGTGATCGGTGCTTTTCGGGAAATTTAACCATTGACCATACTTTGCTGTCATTATTGAGTCTTATTCAATGACAATTGTCCCTATGAATTCCATGATGCCGGACTCCCGCATGGTGTTCAGTGAGATAACCACCTGGTCTAAAACTTACCCTGGCCTTTCACTGTCGATAAAACAAGATTCATCCCATAAACGAAATAGATTTAGTTTCGAGTTATTGGACTAAGAGCTGTATTGAGTATGAAGATGTAACCAAATCTTGTGGGCGTTCCAATTTTTGTACACGAGAATTTAACATCGTAAGGCCACTTATACAGTCGAATGTTCTCACTGTATCATGTTTTAAATAGAATCTAAATGTCAGCTTCAAGTCACTCAATACCTTTCACCTGTGAGTCATCGCGATTCCCGGAACGGTCGTTTCAGTATAATTTGAAATAAAGATATTTAAGTCGCCGGGCAGAAATGGTACAACACTAGAAAATAGTGTTCTTCTCACTTTCATGGCAAGTCAAATAGCATTGATATTTTCCTCCGTTTTTTTCAGAAGCGGAATACTGGACGGCGCCATATTTCATAACGACCTCTCGCTCAAGTCTCAAATTCAGCGAACACGGATCCGCAATAGAGCTTAATAAGCAAACAATGTCCGTTAACACAATGGTAATTTTCATTGGCATTCTTTATTTGACATTTCACGGCGAAAAAATACAAAGAAGTGAACTAACAACTATTTATGAGATGCTTTTATGGTAGCAGTTTTCCCCGACTCCTTTTAAAAGTATCTTTGACATCAAAAGTAGTTAAGAGTTTCCATCACAGAATAGCAGGTAGCTGCGACGGACGAGTTTTCAATTCAAATTTAAGATTTGATACAGTAAAGTCCAAAAATGAATAAAATTTCACGACACAATTATTTCGTCCTTCTAAGATTTGTCAGTGCCTAAAAAATAAAACTTAGTAGGGGACTGAGGAAAATGAAAATTGATTGAAAGAAATGTTAAATCTAGATTGGACGGTTCACTAGCCCCATTATTCAATAAAATTCATATTGTATATATAAATCTGTTGACATCAGAAATGCGTCAATTACGAGCGCATATTCTTAACTGTGTCGCTATTTGGATGAATTCCAACGTGATCTGCAGTTTAAGGCGACTAGAAATATACCCGCAGTGTCTACCACTTACAATTTCAAGATTACACTATAAACACACACAGATCATGGCGGACTTTCACGACTAGAAAAACAAACAACGTTTGTCTACATCACGCAGTGTTGACAAATTATATTGATTTAGCACTGGAGTATTCAATCACCTTGTCTGTTGTGAAGTCACAACGTGATAATGTTAAAGAGGAAAACAAAACATTGACATCATAAGCATCAAAATGACCGACAACTGACGTCATCTCACGAACAAAGAGAAAATCACTCAAAATATCGACCAATCAAAATTATCTACAACTGACGTCATCTCACGAGCATAGAGAAAATCACTCAAAATATCGACCAATCAAAATTATCGACAACTGACGTCATCTCACGAGCATAGAGAAAATCACTCAAAATATCGACCAATCAAAATTATCGACAACTGACGTCATCTCACGAGCATAGAGAAAATCACTCAAAATATCGACCAATCAAAATTATCGACAACTGACGTCATCTCACGAGCATAGAGAAAATCACTCAAAATATCGACCAATCAAAATTATCGACAACTGACGTCATCTCACGAGCATAGAGAAAATCACTCAAAATTATCGAAAATTGGCATCATCTCGAGAACAAGAAAAATCAATGAGCAAACCTAACATGAATTCATGAAATGTCTAATTCATCTTGTAGATATGTGGGGTATCATCAGTTAGACTGCATATGGAATGTAGGATTTTGCATGAGTTTCCATTTCATATCAAACGGTGATATATAAGACTGCATCAGAAAAAACCTGAGTCGATGTAAAGAGCAGCAAGCTGTACATGTCTAAAACAAACGTCAACAAAAGGACTCAAAAGATGAGCAGAAAACAGCCATTTCTCTAACTTGGTTTGCTAGGAGTGGTAATTTATACATTAAATCAATCCAGAAAATAAACTAGAAATAGAAATGTTATTGAAATAATTAATTGATTCCTCAGAATTCGATGTTCGTCAAATATGTACAGACCCGAGAGTTTACGATGATTGTTGACTTTCTGTAGAATTAGGTGAGAGTATTATAGCGTCTGGTGTAATGCTTTCAACACAAATAAATGGTTCCAATCAACGTGTGAGGAGAAATGTCAAACGTTAATTCTTCTCGATAAAACATAATATCTCGTTTCATCGTTAATTATCACGGATATTTATTAATTTGGATTTCAATTCATCATCATACGGTGGCGTTACAACAATGATAAATGCAAAAAATAACGTTTTATGTATTTACCAAGTTTTTCCAGCAAGGCATTGCCTACAAGCGTACATGGATCTATAGACGGTATATCACGCGTACCAAATGCCCCATCCCCTATTCTCCATGAGGTAAGATCATTTTCGCTCTCTCCACCCCGGAACATTTCATGGCAAAATTGAAGGTTCCGAGTGCGTCACATTGTGGACAAGACGAAATGACTAGTTTGATTCTTTGATGTACATCAAACGAATCTCGAGGTCTCATAACGGTATGGCTTTGAAGTTGGGTGTTGCGCCTCTTTAATCGTCAAAGGGGCGTATCGGCCTGTAATTGGTCCCTTTTTTTGTTCCCGGAACCCGCTCAAGGCCAATCAAATTACTTCGCTTTTGTCCTCAATTTTACCATGACGTGTTCCAGGAGTACAGAGAGCTATAGTGAGCGAAACCTCTGTAGTATCGAGAATGCAAACTCCCCACTTCGTTATTGTTAGAAGCTCACAATAATTTTCAATCATACACATAACTGATATCTAGACTTATCATTATGTTTATAATATACTAATCTCCCATCTTTTGGATGTGGTGTCCCTGAAATAAGAGAATATAGTGCTGGATGACGATGCTTATTTTCGCAAACGGCCGCTTAATTCTTAAAAGCACTTCTCAAGTGTCAGCGCGAGGTCTGTTGAGGGTGGAATGTCTTGACCTTGACCTACACGCGCATATAGATGTTTACATAATAACGTTTCATTATATTTTTTCATTCATGATCAGCTGTTTTTTCAAGTAAGGCAAAAATGAAAATGTAAAAAAAAAATCCAGAAAAAAAAGGTATTCAGTCAAAGATATAAAAATCCGATAAAACTCGGGTTATCTCGTCTGCAAAAGTACATCGATATCAGAATGACAAAATACATATTGACATTCTACTTGGAATCCGTTGTCACTCGGCTTTGCGCCAAATATTGTTGATTTGGACTGATCATCTCTCACATAAGCAGTTCTGTGGGACGACGCTAAAATGCCCCGTATTGATCGAACGACATCAGAAATCTTTATTTGTATTATAAATTACATCAGATAAGAATTAACATCTACTATAACATGAATCATTTAAGTCTGGTCTCATTATAAAACTGAGCAGTTCTACATTTATACGATATCCATTTAAAATCCGCCATTTTTGATTGTTGTGTTCTATACTTATGGACGGCGCATTAAAGATGAGGAAAATTGTAACAATACGTGATAATTGGCTTTCAGCATTTACGACGTTGCTTAATGTACAAAAGTACAACAGTCATTTCCTATATTTTGCGAAACGCAATGTTTTCAATTTGTTCACGTCATCATATTATACTTTTATTGCATATATGGGCCTACATGAA